TATATATATATATATATATATTTAATGTACATATATGTACATAATGCTTAAATATAACATAAATATAATGTCTATAATTTATATGTATAACTATTTTCGAAATCAAATATTAATTATAATTATCAAGGAATTAAGTGTATATAGAGAGTTAAAAATGCATTATTTAATATAATAGTTACAATAGAATTAATATCCATAAGTTTGTTGTATATACGAAAAATAATAGATAAATGATAAATAGATATATTGAAAACGATGCGCGTAACACACATGCCATTACATTTTCATTAAATATATCATTCCTTGAAACTACAAAAGATAAAAAAAAAATAAAAAATAGATCAAAAAGAGAATAATAAATATATATGAAATTTTGATAGTTTTTTTAAAATCTTCCATCCATATTTATTTACATTAATGTTATTCCATTGATATATAAATACAATGATTATTATATATTTATTCACTTTTCTATGAATAAATTTATAAGTTTATAACTTATAAGAAATAAGAAAAATATTCAATTATATATATTCAATATATAATTTATTTAATTTTAATTTATATTTTACATTTAACAAAGATATGTATGTATACATATATTAATAAATTAATATGAAAACATTTCGCTAGCATATTTGGATCATTAAAATGGCGAGAATATAAAAAGAAGAGTCGGGGTAAGAGAGAGTGAGGGGAGAAAAAGAGAGAGAAAGAGAAAAAGAGAGAGAAAGAGAGAGCGTCGTCCAGAAAGAAAGACTCGGCGGACAATCACAGAGAAAATCAGATGGAAAGGGAAAAAGAGAAATACAGCGTAGCGAACAGAAAGGCTCCGTACAGGAGGCGAGCATAGAACGCCAACGAGAGAAAAAGCGAGAGCAAGAGAGAACTGTACTCAGTGCATGCAATCTTTTTAATTATGAAAACACGGCTTTGTGTTTCATTTTGTTTTGTCGTCAGGGGCGCTATTCTATTCGGGCCCTTCTCCTTCCTCATCCGGCTGGTTCTTCCTTTTTTTTTTTCTTTTTTTTTTTATATTATAACGCGCGCGCACCGCCGAAGTCAGGAGAGGGTGTGCAGGGCCGGGATAGGGTTCAGGAGAGGGGCAGAGATAGGGCAGGGTGAGATTGCTTTAGTAATGAATTACATGGCTTCGGGGTATGTGCCTGTCTGATGCGCTACACGAATATCGAGCATCACTTTCTGGCTTTCGTTTAGGCTCCTATCGTTAAACTTGCGCATCTTCTTCCTCTGTATCTCTTCTTTTTCTTACGTTCCTTCTTCTGTTTATATTCCTCTCTTATTCCT